CATCCAATCTGGCCTTGAACACCTCCAGGGACGGGACATCCACAACCTATCTGGGCAGCTTGATCTTACTCTAGGCATCCCTAGAGTAAGATCTATGCTTGGGTAGCTTTGATTACTCACACTCTGAGTACTTTTCTGGCTTCTCATGGAGTGTCAGCCTGAATACCACACTGACTCATGCAGTACTGCCTATCTGGCTACTGATACTGGTTGAAGAAATGGGTAACTGATATTCAGAAACTGATGTCTCCAGCAGAGCACAAATTCTATACGTTCAGTTTACAGAAATTGCTATTAACATTATGGGGTAAAGTTGATTATTTCTGTAACTGATAGCAGCTCCTGCTCTAATCAGCAATGCAAGGTCAGTGACAAGGTGAACGGAATCTCAAACATTTATTTAACCTTATGGAACACATTGCTTTGTACACTGCTATCTCCAGTGCAGTACCTGCTGATGGCAGACAGCAATGCAGAGGAAAACTGCAGGAAAATCATGCGATCCAGAGGAGACTTCCTCAGACCACTTCACTGTTTTTTAATGCCAACTTTTGTCTGCTGACAAAAGACAATTCATGGGCTGTGGATTTCCCCTTCTATTCCATTTTTGTAATGCTCTCTTACTTTTTATACGTAGATGATATAAAGTTTACTGTTTTTATTTAAATCAAAATGAACACTAGCGATCTGAATGAAATAAGCCATTAATACTAACAACAGCAAAAAAATGCTGAACTAAGTTAAGATATCCATAGAGGACAAAATGCTCCACAAAGGCAGCACATTTAAACAGGCATGGGAATTGTGCAGGGGAATGACAATGGGGAAGGGAAACAGGGAAGCTTTGGTTCAGTGGATTCCAGGCACCAGTGGATCCATCACATTCTCTTATGCTCTCCTTTTTAACTCCAACAAACCATATTATAAGCAGGTGCATGAACTGGCCAATATGTGGTTGCATATAATCAAAAATATCAAAGAGGCATTCTAGTATGTTTGTGTATGTTCAGCCAGATCTACAGTATGTATTCTACAAGGAAACCTCATTTTTATTTGAAGAACAGAAGCGATGACAGTCTAGCATGTTCTCTGGTAAACTGTTCCTACATTTAATTATCCTCAAGATAAAAATGTTCTCTTTATTTTTCATACAAATTGAACTGCATTATCTTTTTCTTTTTTCCTTTTGTGTGTGTGTGTGTGTGCGTGTATGTACTAGAATTATAAGGTGTCAACTACTAGAAATCATTTCTCTATGCAAGTACTTCTAGACTGAGCCACAGTAGCATGTAGAGCTAAATATTCTCTGTGTTTCCAAAACCATTTAAACTGATTCAACTAAACAAGGAGAGTGGGGTTCTCCTCTGATAATTATGAAACACTACAATCTTTTATAAGGAAAAAAGCTGAATAATATCTCTGCAGGTAGCCCCTGTTGTTTCTAGTATTGCTTCACTTAACATTAAGAAATACTCATGTCATTTAAAAATGGAATTGCTGATTATAATTAAGGTAGGAGGAAGGGAGAAAACAGCAAAGAAAACAAGAGAACAGCAGTGTTGCCAGGACATAGCAATAGGGTGACAGAAATGCTCACCAGCAACTCCTGTAAGAGGGGGTGGATCAGTTCACTGGGGTGGAAAACATGTTACAAAATTCCTTCTATGACCCACAAAGCAGAGAGAAAAGCTTACAGCAAGACTATAGCATGAAAGACTGTACAAGATAAAAACAGTGAAACTATGATCAAAGGAATGTAAGAGAAATCCTGGATTTCTCTTGCACCATTTACAGAGGCACAGTGTAAACAAAGCAATACATACTGGGAAATGTAGGAAGCTCGTAAGGAGTCTAAGATTCAGCTACAGGCTATGTCCAAATTTGGGAGATTTTGCAGTAGAATAACAGTCCTGGGGCCATACGCTCATGTTGGAGTCCAATACTTGCAATTAGTTCACAATTAGATTAATGTAGATCTTAAGTAATATCGTGGACTTCAAAGGTGTTACATCTGATAATCTGGTCAATGCCAGCAGAGCAAGCAGTCACCACCAGAACCTCATTAAGTGCATATTCAGAAATAGTAGTAATGACTACCAGAGTTCTTTTAATGGTTGTCAACAACACAAATGATGCTCATAACGACATATACGCACAGATGGAGAGCACAGTTGATTTCAGCTCCTAAAGTCTGGAGTATACATTTAGCAGAAGTGGTCCAATGTGAGTGAATGACTTGCAGTTAAGAGAGCTGATCGGAGTTGCTGGAATATATCAGAAATGATGTGGATCTTATTACCCTATCAGAGCTGAAAGTCAGGAATCTGGGACTTATCTCCACTAACATACTGGTCAGCCAAAGTAGATTCGGATAAACCCCTTTGATCGTCCATTTCTATTTTCAGTCCAGTGTAACTTTCCAAGGCCATGCGAGTACAAACTATCCTTTGCACTCAAAAGGCGGCAATACTTCAGGTGACAAGCCTCATCTCCAGGCACTATTTTCTCTTTCATGCAGGTACGAATGGCAGTACACAGGTCCTGCTGCAGGCATTTCCTCTTTGTGTCCTTCCACAAGAGATGCCAGAACTTCCTCTATTACACGGGGCTGCATTCCTTTTCAAGTTCTGTGTACAGCAGCTGTGGGAGACAACGGCCTCTGAATGAAAGCAGCAAGGAGCATCCTTTATCGGCCGGTGCTGAAAATGGAGGCATCTCCTGGGCTGTCTAACCAAGGCCGTTGCTCTGTGTTATCCACTGCTGCATGTAGACCTACTGATTGTTACAGCTCGTGGTTTGAATTCAGCTATTTGCAGGTCCAGCAATGACGTATTAACAGATGACTCCTTGTAGTGTTTTTATGCGCCGTTCTCCATTTGCAAGTGTTGCAGTGTGCAAATACAGGTAAAATTGCTCCTACTAGAATACACTATTTTCTGAAGGAAACAACCGCCTGAATAGTAAACCAGATTGGAATAACCTACCCCATTATCAGGCGCACAGGGATAAGGTAAAAGCTTATATATACCTTCAGTTGTTATATCTTTGATGTATTATACTTTTTCAGGCATTTCAATCTCACAGAATCACAGATTACAGAATCACAGAATCACCCGGGTTGGAAGGGACCTCAAGGATCATGTAGTTCCAACCCCCCTGCCTAGCAGGGCCACCAAACATACACATTCAGATCAGGTTGCCCAGGACCCCGTCCAACCTGGCCTTAAACACGTCCAAGGACGGGGCATCCACAACCTCCCTGGGCAGCCCGTTCCAGGGCCTAACCACTCTCCTAGTAAAGAACTTCCCCCTAACATCCAACCTAAATCTTCCCTCCTTCAACTTAAAACCATTTCCCCTAGTCCTGCTGTTATCAGCCCTTTTGAAGAGTTTACTCCCCTCCTGGGTGTAGGTTCCCTTCAGGTATTGATAGGCTGCAATGAGGTCGCCCCGCAGCCTTCTCTTCTCCAGGCTGAACAAGCCCAACTCCCTCAGCCTGTCCTCATATGGGGAGGTGCTCCAGCCCCCTGATCATCTTAGTCGCCCTCCTCTGGACCCTTTCCAAAATCTCTATGTCTTTCTTGTACTGAGGGCTCCACACCTGGACACAGTACTCCAGATGGGGCCTCACAAGAGCCGAGTAGAGAGGGACAATCACCTCCCTGTCCCTGCTGACCACCCCTCTCCTGATGGAGCCCAGGATCCCATTTGCCTTTCGAGCTGCCAGAGCGCACTGCTGGCTCATATTCAGTCTCTCGTCCATCAGGACCCCCAGGTCCTTCTCTGCCGAGCTGCTCTCAAGGACCGCTCCTCCCAGCCTGTACAGGTGCCTGGGGTTCTTCCGGCCCAAATGCAAAACCTTGCACTTTGCCGTGTTGAACCTCATCAGGTTCACCCGAGCCCAGCCCTCCAGCCTGTCGAGGTCCCTCTGAATGGCATCCCTTCCTTCCACTGTATCAACCGCACCACTCAGCTTGGTGTCGTCAGCAAACTTGCTGAGGGTGCACTCAATTCCCTCATCGATGTCATTAATAAAGATGTTAAAGAGCACCGGTCCCAAGACAGACCCTTAGGGGACACCACTTGTTACCGGCCTCCACCTGGACTTAGAGCCATTGACCACCACCCTCTGTCTGCGGCCTTTCAACCAATTGCTTATCCATCGGGTCGTCCACCCATCAAATCCACTTCCCTCCAATTTGGAGATGAGGATGTGGTGGGGGACCATGTCAAAGGCCTTGCTCAGGTCCAGGTAAATGACATCGGTCGCCTTCCCTTCGTCCACCAATGCCGTCACTCCATCATAGAAGGCCACAAGATTAGTTAGGCATGACCTTCCTTTGGTGAAGCCGTGCTGGCTGTCTCGGATCACATGCTCATTCTTTATGTGACCGAGCGTGTTGTCCAGGAGGATCTGTTCCATGATCTTCCCAGGCACGGAGGTGAGACTCACCAGCCTGTAGTTCCCCGGGTCCTCCCTGCTCCCCTTCTTGTATATGGGAGTTATATGGTTATATGGTTACTCTCCCAATTCAACCCCAACACTCTTATTTTTCCTCTTGTTTATTACATTTCTCATTAAGATGCACTCACACATCGCCCCCCTCACAACACCACGCTCCCCTCCCCAGCGACCGCCGCCCGCCCGCTACGGCGCACGACGTGCTGCGTCACAGCCCTGGCCCCGCCCCCCGTCATGGCCTCGCCCCCCCGTCATGGCCCCACCCTTCAGGTCCCTCCTTCCCGCGTGCCTCCGCGTATAAACATTTCACCCTCTCCTCACTGCCCTCTCAATCCTCCCCACCCACCACGGAGCGTTCTCTGATTGGTCCGCCCCCTGCCGTCGCTGGCCAATGAGGGCGCCCACCCGGAACCCCGCCTCTTTAGAGCGCGCGGTGGCCGCGGCGCCCCCCGATAGCGGCGGTGATGGCGGCGGCGGGGTTGGCGCGGGTGCTGCGCCGGTCTGGGGGCAGAGCGCGATGTTGCGGAGCGCTCCGGAGCCGCCCGACCCCCCTGCCGGCCGAGCCCCGCCGGGCCGCTGCGCACTTCGCTTTCGAGCCTGATCCGGCACCCAGCGCTTACGGTGAGAGAGGGGCCGGGGTCCTCCCTGCGGGCAGGGCTCTGCTGTCGGTCCCGCCCCCGCCGCCTCTCTGCGGTGGAGGGGAAGGGCGGGCGGGGCCTCCGCAATCCCGGGTGGCTCGGCCTTGACTCGGCCGCGTGGATGAGGTCCCTGCGTTTGCTCAGCGCAGAGCAGAGGAGCTGAGGGGAGGCCTGATGTCGGCAGCTTCTCACAGGCAGCGGGGGCAGCGCTGAGCTCTGCACTGTGTGACAACAACGGGGCCCGAGGGAACGGCATGGAGTTGTGTCAGGGGAGGGGCAGCTGGGGGTTGGGGACAGGGCATGGAATGGGCTGCCCAGGGCAGTGGGCGCGGCCCTGAGCTGCTGGAGTTCGAGGAGTGTTTGGATGCCACTTTTAGACATAGGGTTTGAGTTTTGGGTGGTGCTGTGTGGAGCCGGGAGTTGGGCTCGATGATTCCTGTGGGGCTCTTCCAATTCCAATTCAGGATGTTCTGTGAGGTGTTCCAACTTTGTAGCTAAGTCTGAGACAGCTCTCAGCCGTTCCCACGTGCTTTGAGGAGGCACAGGCATGCAGGGCTTCCCAGAGCAATGTCTGTGTGCTGCCGGCCTCTGCTGGAGGGAACAGCGAAGAAGCCCTTATGGGGCAGTCAGCCCTAATGCTAAGTGGAAAGCTAGGTCCCTGACTTAAACAAAACTAGCTAAAAACAACCCTTGGAGTTCTGTGAGAAATAATGAAAGAAAATAAATGACAGTACTGGTCTGATCTTGATATTAATCCTGGCTTCACAGTTCACACCTGAAGGGCACAATTACTTTCTACTCTCTTGCTTCTGTAACAGCCTTTTGTTAGAAGCGGGACCAGCAGGTTGGGACAGTCAGTGCTAGCAATTTGGCAGTTGCTGAAGGAATAGGCATTTCCTTGTAGAAAATACTGAAATGAATGTGACCTGCTGAACGGATAACCTTGTGTGGTTGACTGAGAAAGGAGAAACAGCTGCTGTTCCCCAACTTCCACCTTGCAAATGTTGATTGCTTATAGATTTAATAAAATTTGAATGGTTCCCATAATGGTTTCTTACAGCTTTCTCTTAAAGGCTTCTGTAAACTATAACAAGAAAAGCTATTGAGCATGAAAAAATATAGGAACACAGCTCTCTAGCTCTGTTATGACTTGAACCATTATCTTGATCAAGAAATGCTAATTACCAAGGGATAATTGGCTGAGTGATTGTTGAGAGATACTGTAAACAGAAGTCAGTTCTTTTGGTTACTCTTATTCCTCACATATGGCTACCACTTTTGTTTTATTTTCTGCCACTTCTTTCCTTGCAGTACAAAAAGGGACCTGCATTAGATCTTAATCAAATCCTTTTTTTAAAGTTTTTTTTTAAGCTGTTCCATATCTAACTTCCCCCTCTTGTTTTTTTGTTGCTTCTAACGCTTTCTAATTGCAATCCAGAGAGTGGGCAGGAGGCATAGAAAACTTCTGATAGCAGCAGATGTCTGTAAATAGTGAAGGCAAGAGGTTAAAAAGTGGTGATTGAGACACAATAAAGGAAACTTGCTGAGATCTGGTAAACCGCAGCAGAAGGTATTCCTGTCCTCAAGGTAGTAATGCTTGACTATGGGTTCTTTTTCCTTTGAAAAATGGAATTAACTTTTGTTCCTAGTATTTGAATAAGCTTTGCAAATCTGCGTTTGCAGCCACGACTGTACTTCTTTCAAAAAGGCTGAGTAGAGTTACAGTCCTTGGGATTGCCAAGTATGCTGTACTTGGTCCCGTCTATCCCATAAATTTAAGTTTGCTCAATAAATGAATCTTTGAGGGATTGTGCTTATGACTATTGACTAAGCTTTTAGCAATGTTTTGCACTAGTGTTTTCTAATGTATTGCGTATTTTGAACTGAATTAAATATCAAAATATTCCCTGTCTCACAGGGCAAACTCAGAAGATGAATCTCTTCCAGTCCATAACAAGTGCCTTGGATAATGCTTTAGCCAAAGATCCGACTGCAGGTATGCTCTACTTGTTAGCATGTTTTGCTTTCCATCAGTTGCATTTTGTATTTGTGCACAATAGTGAATGCGTTTCTCATTGCCTTTAAGCTTTGTATTATGTTATTTTCTACATTTTGATATTAAAAAAGGCTTAAAAATGCACTGGGATTTAAAACATATAAATGGAATATTAACAGATTATTAATGGATTATGTATTCTAACCTGTAGTTGTCTTCTCTATCAGCTTGTATTTTGATTGAAAGTTGGGACAGAAATATACGTTTATTAATACATTTCTGCTATTTTAGGGTGGCCTGAGTCCCAGAAAAAAGTAAAGGAGGATTTTTTTTTTTGCCTCACTTTTAGTTCACTCAACTCTCCATACTCAAAAAGTGGCACTTTTGAAAGACTGCATGTTTCTTGTTCTGTCATTCTCCCTTCTCTTCTTCCATGTTCTCTCATACCCCTTTTCAGCTTTACTGATTTTGGGTCATCATTGTACGTCACTGTATGTAGGTGATGTAAGATTTTTCCAGACTGCAAAAGACTGGAGAACTGATAGCTTTGAAGAAACTAGTTCAACACAGATCAGTTAAAAATGAATTATCCTAAACTTTATTTTGCACAAAATGACTTAATTCATATAAAGATAACAAGAGATCAGTTGCTTCTGTCATCAACAGAGGTGGGATGAAGGCCAGATATTAAAAATGTTATTTTTTTTAATGGAATGAACACAGCTGGAAAAGCTGTACGATCCTGTTGTGTAAGTTTGTTTTTTTTTTGACTTAATGCATTAGTAACTGTTTTTGGCAGTGTTTTAACCACTGCTTAATTTGAAGCCTGACTAATTGTCTAATCTGTCAGGATAAATTCCATGTTCAGTATCCAGTAGTATGCTTGTATGCATTCCCTCTCAATCTAAAGCTGTGTTACAATCAGCTTTAGTAAGCTTGATTTAGACAAGAACAGCTTTTAGTGATATTTCTGCAGTACTAACAATATAAAAGCAAGTGCAATGTAATTCTGAGAGGAACCTAAATGTGTATGTGATCTTCAGCCTTTGACTTGCTCTAATGTTCTAGTCTTTCTCCTCAGCTTGCAGGTCTGTATCTGTGTAAAACCCTTTGCCAGACTATACTGGAATTCTGCAATCCAGATCTGTGTTTTGTCAGTATCACTCTACTTAATGAATTAATTAGTAATTCTTGCAGTAGGAAGCGTATTCTTCGTGTGTTTTCAGTTGTGTGGAAGTTGAGCAACTGTCGTTTAAGTGGTGGGGAAACTCATGCTTGGGTAGATGAGAACTAGAATCTGGCCAGGAAAGCATTTCAGTGGATGAGGAGAATGAGAAGGTTCATGGAAGCTTGCTGACATCATTGTCAAATGAGGCTGTTCTTAATACCAGATGATTCCCAAGTGTGTAATCACATGGTAGTAGGAAAACACTACAATGTTTTTAACACATTAAAAAAAAAAAAAAAAAAGCAAATTAGTAAAAATGAATTGGAGCAATGATTTGAGATTTCTGTCGTGAACACTATGATGGCATAGCTTTTTTCCAATCTCTATTTTAACAGTTTAAATAAAACTGTTTTAATGAAAGTCAAATTTCAGCATTTGGTAAATCTAAAGAAAAGAAGATCAGATGAAAATTTAGCCATAAATCAGCTGAAGATAATTAGTTTGGGGGGGGGGAAAGACTTTAATTGTCCAGGTGCTGTATGAGAATGGTAGTGTTGAATATAACGTTGAATACTAATAGTTGTCCTGGCTATTAGATTGCCATCTCTTCTGTATAGGATTTCCTTTGAAGAGGCTCTTGAGGGATCTGGTGAGTATGTTTGAAGAAGGCTTTAAATTTCACATTAGATACTTATTTTGTAGAACACTTCAATTTGACACTTTTCAAAACACTAAATATACTGGAATCTGTGGATGAAAAATGAGTGTTTGAGTTGAAGCACAATATACAACTTCAGTAACTCTTTCATAATTGCTTATTGGAATTGTTGTTTTATTTGTTTTGATGTCTTGATGTTATAGAATACTTCAGAAAAATAAATGGGCTAATGAAGCCATAACTGAGTCAGTTAGATTAATACTATTTCAAGGCATAGATGTGTTACTTCACTGATTCTTTGCTAGCCTTGCTTCTTCTACAGTTAGGCTGTCTAAAGGAAGCACTTAGATGTCTAGATAAATCTTGAACTAGAATGAAGTGTTAAGTGCTTAACAGAAAAATTGCTTCGGCCTTCATGGAAAAATCAAACGCACTGGGATTACATTAATCTTCCTTTACTTTTTTTTTTAGTAATATTTGGTGAAGATGTGGCCTTTGGTGGAGTCTTCAGGTGTACAGTTGGCTTGCGAGACAAGTATGGTAAGCCACTGTTTATATCTGGTGTTACCTTCGTATCAACATTTGCTTTTCCTGCCCTGTATGGTTTGTGGGAGAAGAGAAGAATACGTATGAGAGAAATCTTATAACTGGAGTACTTTTTTATTCTATTTGTCTTTGAAAGTAGAAGTTTTGAATATGCTATCAGTGTAAGCTTTCGAAGTTACTGAATTTACTGACATTTCAATTGTCTTCTGTTTCTTCAAATAACTTTATCAATATAACTTCACATTTTTAACTATTCTTGGACTAAATGTTCGTCATTTGGGCCCCTTTTTATTTGTCATCAAATTATAGCCTCTTATCAATGATACATAGTGATGCTTTTTGGTCTAATCTGCCACAAACTGGAAAAGACTTAACTTGAAATAGGTTTGAGTACTTTGTTAAATATAATATTTTTTAACATGCCCTGGAAATATAGAAAGAAAACACAACATAGAAATGTTTTAAGCTTGTTCTTCATCCAGAATGGAACTGGTTTACTTGTTTGGGAGACTTGTGTGCAGGCATTCAGAGAAATAATGACATTGCCATCTACATAGGGAAAAATATACATGCAAAAATATATGAAAAAATGTGACACACTTAATTATCTCAGACATTTGAGGTGGATTCAGGGGAAGAAAAATGTAGTTACTCACAGGATATTTTAATTTAAAAGGCCATCTTAATTTTTTTAAAGTGAATTTAAAATAAGGAACTTTCTAGAAAGAATAATTGAATTGGAAGAAACCTTCAAAGGTGATGTAATCCATCTGAATTTTAAAAGCTTACAGGAATTTTCAATAATTTCTTGCATTATCTGTGGTTTAAATTAATCTTTATATTGTGTTCATTTAAGAAGGAAATGCTCTTTCTGTGGTGTGATCTTCTGTAGCTTCACGTCAGTGGAGATAAAGGTGTGGACTTTGTTACAATGAATAGTCGGAAAGCAAATAAGTGCCATGTTCACAGTTTTTGTTGGATAAAGTGTGTACTCAGTGATATCTTGTTGGCAAATTTGGAGGAATTCTTGTCATCACTGTTTTTAACTTAGGTGTGATTTCCTTCTGTGTGCTTTTTGCCCCCAAGAAGTGCTGTGGAATGCTACAAAAAATCACTTTTTAATCTATGGCATGCAATGTGATACATAGTGGTTTACCCTTTTGGAAACTGGTTGTGGCTACAGTAACATGGTGGCTTGTTATGGGGGTGTTGTGTCCTCTGCTGGGCTATCCAACGGTCCAAGTAGAGCATTACAAATTCAAGGCACAAAAATGACTGGAACCACTTGCTGCAGATTACATCTATTTCACTGTTTTATCTGGAGGAGATGAGTTATTGCTGACTTGGACGTTACAAGAAAACTGGGCAGAAAAAGGGAGTGGAGGAAGGCTGTGCTTTTAAGACAATTTAGAAAGATAAGTCTGTTTTGTCTTAATTCTCTGCTTCAGTGAATATCATAGAACCATAGAATGGCTTGGATTGGAAGACACCTCAAGGATCATGAAGCTCCAACCCCCCCGCCACATGCAGAGCCACCAACCTCCCCATTTAATACTGCCCAGGGCCCCATCCAATCTGGCCTTGAACACCTCCAGGGATGGGGCATCCACAACCTCTCTGGGCAGCCTGTTCCAGCACCTCACCACTCTTCCCCCTGACATCCAACCTAAATCTTCCCTCCTTGATCATGAAGCTGTTTTCTCATTCTGCTGCTTATATATTAATATGTGTTTACATAAAGTCTGGTTGAAACTATTAGTAATAGTCATTATAGTTGCATGTTGGGATTGAGTTAGTTCTGTAAGTCTGGTGGAACATGTTCTCTGCTCATCAGATTTCATGTGAAAATGAAGGCTCAGAGACAGCAGCTAGCTGCTGTAAAAATGAGCAGCACAAGAATTCATTTGGGAAGTAAGCAAGAGAAACAGAAGGCTTCATTATCGACCTTGTTTTTTAGTTAGCATCTCCACTTTAAAATGAAAAAAGAATAAACTTTCTACCATTAGGGTGTTGCTTTGAGGATAATTTGTTCGTCTCTTCTGAGGTAAGAAAGCCTTGCAATACTGAGGGACAGATACTACATGGTCAGATGTCCTGGTGCTGTTCGAAGACTGTGACAGCTCCTGCCCCAGGGTACAGGGGTGCTGTAGGGATGGGTGCTGCTGAAGTAATGCAGGGAACATCTGCAGAGTAACTTGGTTGGTGTGACAAACAGCAGTCTCAGTGTAGTAGCAACTTAGCTAGAATTGAATTTATTTTATGAGTGTGCAATAAAAAATTTTGGTGAATATTTTGAGGAAGATACGGCATGACTTTGGGAATATTTGAGTGGAACTCCCTTAAAGCTTGAGGAGGAAGATGGATGAGGAATTGTAACAGTACTTATATTAATATATTCAATAATGGCCAATGAAAGTTAATATTGATTCTGACCTTTTTCTAGTGAAAAAGATGATAGATTTTTATGAGGAAAAATTAAGCTCATATTTCTTGTGATTAAAATAAAATAAATGGGTACATAAAGTGCTGGTGAAACCAAATTGGCAAGATGGGAAACTGACTCTTCATGTCAGTTCTGACCACCACAAGAATTGTTTTGACTGCAAATGATGTTAGTTGGAAGAGAAATTCAGAAAGGTTTTCTGATGTGTTTGTGCCTTAAAAGAAATATAATCTCTTATTTTCTTACATTATAGAAAGATCTCAAGTTCCCTTTCTGTCTTGCAAATTCTGAGATTTAGGTGTTGTTGAAAAGTGAACTGAAGATGCTGATAGTGATTGAGATGGGAGGTGGTAGTAGAGAAGATGTGACAGGAAAAACAAATTTTTTTTATAATTATGCTGTTGGCGAGGTCCCTGTAAGTACATGGTGACAATATCTGATCTCACATTTGGAGAGAAGGTGAAATACGAAGGAGTTGTCCATAAAATGATAATTCAGCTTGGTAAGGCAGGCACGGTGACACAAGTAACTTTTGGTTTCTTCACTAACAATGAAGTCTTATAGAAAGCATGCAGTAGCTTGAGTGAAAATAGCCAAGAGGAACCTCATGACAAACTGAAGGTGTTACAGTGCTTAGGAGAACTAGGAAAACCTGGAAGCACAAAAATTGAAGGAATCCAAAATTTCAATTAGGATGCATCTGTCTTAGATCAGTGTTGTCTGAGACAGGAGATAAGTTTCAGTTGCAGCTCTTGTCTTATGCAGAGGCTGTATGTAGTCTATTTTAAATGAGCAATTCCAGACAGAGCTGATGAGCAGGCAACCAGCCTCATTGATCTTGCTTGTACAATAAAGATTACATACTTACTGGCCTCTCTTTCCACACTTCAGTCCTGCAATTATCATTAGCATAGTAACAGGGAATGCAAGTAGCACATTATGTTGATATAAAATTTGATGAAATTGATTTTTTTCTCATATTCTGGAACTGGTTTTCCAGTTTTGTAGCTAATCAAAATCACTAGGTGGCAGTCTATGCCTGTAAGTAATTATTTTGCTATGTATTATCCTCCTTTTAAAGTGCATTGAAGAGATTGAGATCTAATTATCTAATGTTATAGCAGTGAGAACTCTGCACTAATATTCAGCAGTAACTCTATGCAGATTGTGGTTGCTATCTGTACTGTTACTCAAGTCTCTCTGGACAGGTAGTGAGGAGAAAAAAAATACTTCTAGAATAAATCATAATCAAATCTAAGACTTTTTTTTTTGCCAGAAGAGCTACTTAAGCCCTGTGTTTTTATTAAGACACAGATAGAGATGTATACTAATAAGCAAAAGCCCAGCTTTTAGACTTCATATAAAAAAAAAAAATCTTAGTTGTTGATTAGATGAGTATGTTTTGAAATTGTTTAATTGAGGAAATGTATGTAGAATTTTCTTTGCTATGAGAGCTGTACCTAGGATATCATGTTTCTTCCTGTGCGTCTTCTGTTAACATCTCAGTGACGTCAAAGCTGGATTCAGCCTTAGCAAATCATTATTCTTCCATGGATATTAGTAACTTCTGCTTTAACTGAATGCTTAGAAGTCAGTTGCTGTATAATCCTCCTTCCTGAAAACATGTAGATTCCTGATTATTACCACTTCATTTTTATGTGGAAAGTTCCTTTTGAATAAAGGAAAGGAAGTCTTGTTTTTTTGTTCCTTTTTTTGCCCCTCCCTTAGGTCTTACACACTAGATGGTGTACTCTTATCTTACTTCTTCTTTCCTTCCCCATTACTTCCTGCCAGGTCACCATTTTGCAGAGGTTGCATACTCTAACCTGAAGAATATCTTTGTTGAAAAAGGAACAAATACCTGCTGCTCCATACTCCTGCTATCTTGGAAAGGTTTCTTGTTCCTTGTCTCCAGAGCAAAGATGTAAAACAAATATTTTGTATCTGGTTCTTTTGCCTACTTTATTTTTGTAGCCTAGGTAGTCTATTTTCCTTTTTAAAGGATACATATTATTTTAGACTTGGAGAAAATAATTGGCTAAAATATCTGTACACATTTGTCTTCAAGCCTATGGATGGATTTAAAAGGATGTTGGAGTATAGGTAATTGTGGCTGGTTTCTCTGCTTGGAATGTGAAATAAAATTGTAGCATGGAATAATTAATATTAACTCTTTTGCAGAATCATAGAATGGTTTTCAAGACCACACCTGTTCATAGGTCTTGTCACTTACACACAGATGCCTTTCACAAAAATGCACTTGTATGTATGTATCTGGATACCTTGTTTTGGTGAAGTTATGTTTTATGCAAGTACTGGAAGGTTAAAGTGCTCCCCAAAATATTGGTGGGGAGATAAGGTGACATGCTATGATTCTAGCCCTCTGGAAAGGAGTCTGGAGGCTCTGGCTGATGGGAAGCTGCATCTGAGCCACCAGTGTGTCCTGGCAGCCAGAGGGGCCAACTGTCCCCTGGGACGCACCAGGCCCAGGGTGCCACACCAGGGTGTGAGGTGGATGAGGGAAAAAGATTGTGAGTAAAAATTAGAATCT